AATTACAAATTCTATTATTATATGTTAGAACATCTTTCTGGAGGGCAGTTTGGCAAAATGTATTGAAAGTGAAAGGGTTACAAATACTTGACCATTCATTCCAAATCTAGGATTTATATTGTCATGAGTAGATGTGAGCCCTGGAACTGAGCAGTCATCTTATAGCCCCAAGGGGAGGGAAGTCAACCCACAGAGTGGAAAAGGAGCCTGTCCTCCACAAGATCTCAGACCTGCAGATCTGACCACCCCAGGGCCCACTGTATCCACAGATGCACTGTTTTGTGAGATGGCAAATTTCCTCATCACTCTAGTCAGTGTTAACTGGGGTTTTGTGATTTGTGGTCAATGCCCTCTTGACACAGGGCTCTGTCCTTCCCTTCAGACCCTCCAGCCTCATCTTCCACTTCTTCCCAACAGCCACCTCTGCAGTGGTCAGGCTGCTTCCAACCCTGCCAATACCTTGATTTGCACTTCTGGTCCCAAGATCGTGAGAGAATAAATTTCTGTGGCTTTAAGTCACCCAGTTTGTATACTTTGTGATGGCAGCCCTAGGACACAGATACAGCTGAGGCCTAGAATCCACCTCCCTCTGCCCCAAAGGCATACTTTGATTTTCTGCTTGTATTGAGTAGACTTGGAATACAGCCTATAGAGTATGGGTCAACAGAAATGGAGATTGATTTATGGCCTTGAAGATAAGAACACAGGCTCTGGGGTCTGGTAAGTCTCATTCAAGTTGCCAGCTGTGTGTCTATGGCAACTCTCTTAGCTTTTCTAAGCTTCCATTTCCATATCTACAAATAGGGTTAATAAAGATTGTTGAGGAGGCTGAGATAATATATATAGTGCTTAATATGTTACCTTGTGCACAGGAAGATTTAACAAATTCTAACGCCTTAAGGCCCCAGTGTAATCCAGAACAAGAGTTCTCATCCTCTCTTAATTAGATGGAGATCAATGAATTGGCCACAGCAAAGGGCAGGGAGTGGGGGGAGTCCCATAGTCTCTGAGAAATACAGGGGCAGGTCTCAAGTAATGATGGACTATGCCAATGGGAGGATGTGAAATTCCATTTACAAGGATAGCCCAAGTTGTTATTAACCAACAACAGTGAGGAAAGAGAAGTGAAAGGAAGGAGGAAAGAAATAGATCCTAGGTCTTGGAGCTCAGAGAAAACTGTGTGGGGCGACACAGGGAGCAGTAGCTTCCAAGGGCAGCAGACACAGGGTTTGCTCAGGCAGGATGTGAGGGAAGGGGTCCTGGATTCCCCTTCGTGGAGAGAAGACTCAACCAAAGGACAGCGTAACCAGTGGGGCTTACCCCATCACACTTTGTTAGAAAGTAGTGATCTAGAAATAACTACTTGATTAGGAAATTAGCACTTGAGGATTCTCATAACTAGTTATCTCTTGGCTAATTGGAGTGAAAGGCAGAACGGGTTTTACTTGGAAATGTAGTGCCTTTTTTTTTTTTTTTTTTTTTTTTTTGGTCATTTTATACTGTGCCTTCCTAGAACACATAACCATTTTGTTTTATTCCTAGAGAAATAATCCATGACATATAAGCTTTTATCACAAAAACATCAAACTTTATCTTTGGCACAAAATAAATGGTTGATCATTGTCTTTTGTCATTTATTATAAAATATGTTATCTATGATAACTCTTGATATGCATCCCACTCCAATTTTCTTCATATTTAAAATAGGTGAGTAATTGATTTCTGAGTGTGGTGTATTTGCTCTGTAGCTTATTTGCATACTTACATTTTGATACTGAAAGAAATCCTAAGAGCTAAACCTCAGAAGTTGTAGACTTTGCCTAGATAAACATCTGCTGTTTTAATGGTATTTTGAACTGCAGAGCTACCATTTAACAACCCTGTATTCTTTTATTTTTTATAACTGAGTGGGTGGGGAAATGGGAAAGAATTCTAAAGAACCAGTCACTTCACCTTTCTCCTTCTCTCTGCTTCATCCTTTGCAGAGGAGCTCCTGCACCACCCAGGCCTTCCTCATGCAGTTAGTGTAAGAGTCCAAAGAAAGAAGAGATTGAAAAGCACTTCAGAAATTCTCAAACCCTACACCAACGTAAGGGACTACAGAACTGCAGGAGGATTTACTCCCTTGTTGGTTAATCACTTTTTAAATGTGTTCCTTGTTCAGGTAAATGTGACATCTGCTTTTTGTTTGTTACTTGTCTGCTGGGAACCATGTATTGGTCATTTCATCAATAACACACATTTAATAAATGTTCACAAAATTAAATGTATTAGTCATTTATTCATTTAAGCAGGAATTCCTGAGCACTCTCTATAGACCATGCCCTGAGAACACAGTGATGAGCAAGAGAGTCCGTTGTAGTGTCCACTGTCGTGGAACTGACATTCTCCTGGGAGAAACACACTGAAAGAGGCACAGGGCAGATGGCAGTGATTGCTGTGGTCAGAGAGGTCTTGCTGAGGAGGTGCAGTTGAGCTGAGTACTAAAGGATGAGAACAGGTCACATAGGGAGGAGCTGAGGAAGAACTCGGCAGGCAGAGCTTAGCAAGGGTAAAGGCCTGGAGGATGGAAATGAAAAGAAACTGATGTGATGGGAGGGTAGCAGTGAGGGAGTATCAAAGAGCGAGGCATCTGGACCAGTCCAGACCACATTTCTAAATGGAAACATGCCTCATTCCTGAGAATATATCCCAAATGGAGCACTCCTCTCTTTGATGAGGAAGGGCTGGGTGAAGGCCCACATTCCTTTCTCTAAGTGAGTGAGTGCTGGGGGTGCATTGGTGCATGGAAAGGGTAAGTAACCTGCCCAAGGAGCACCAGTGGCCGTGGATCACTTGACCCTGAGCCAGCTCCTGAGGGTGGCAGGTAAGGTGGGTGACCCAAGGCCTGCTGGTCAAGCCAAGACTTAGCTTGTTAATTCACTCACTTTTCTCCTAACTTCAATATCTGGGACTTTTCCTAGTACACCAGAGCCTGCCTGACATATCTTTGCTGCAGCTACGGGTTTCATTGAGAGAAGATCTTTGGTTCATTGGACCAGCGAGCTCACTCCACAGAAAGCCTCAGGAAATGACAGACCCCCACCACTTCAGATAATCTGGCAGTCTGTGGCCCAGGTCCCCTGCTCCCTTCCCTCTGTCCAGATGCCTGACCTAAATAACCAGGTGGGGAATGGGAGAAAAGACACCTGAGCCACCAACCCCTAGCTCCACCCTTCCCAGGACTGGAAGATAACAGATGATGTCTTCAGAAAACGAGGGCTGGGGTGTGGGAACTCAGCCAGGGGGTGGCCAACTTTTCCTGTAAAGGGGCCGGATAATAAATGTTTAGGCTTTATGGGTTACATACGGTCTCTGCCACACATGCTTCTTTGTTTTTATTGGTTAATTATTTCTTTATAAACTTTAACCCTCTAAACCCTTAAAAAGGTAAACACTGTTCTTAGCTTGTAGACCTTACCCTCAACCTGAAAAGTGGATTACAGTTTGTTGACCCCTAACCTAGGCTGCTTTACCCTGACAAACTTCAAACCGGAGGCTACTTAATCCAAGTTAGGGCTGGAAGAGCTGTTTCTTTTAATCTCTATGGGAGTACCCTGAGGTGGGCCTTCACTGACAACTGCATCTCAACATCCCTAGATCCCCATTCCCACTTTCCACATGACCATCCTCACTCACCATCAGTGAAATGGAAGCTGGGAGAGGCCAAGCAATCCCGCAAGGCCATGCAGCTAACAAGTGGTAGAGGCAGGACTTGAACTCAGGTATTCTGATTCCAGAGTCACTGGTCTTAACCACTGTGCTATACTATCGCCTGCTAGAAACTAGAGCGGTGGCTTTCTCTTTCTGGGCAAAGCCCCCATCTGTACAACAGGTGGGGTGGTGTTTTCCTCAATGTGAGAGGAATACCTGATGGCAGGTGAAACAATTCCCATGGTTCACACACAGAGCATCAAATAATATTGATTCACAGAATGAAAAGATGATTGTCTTTTCACGTCTCTCTCAAGTCTTCCAATAATGTCAGGGAAGAAGGTTTAGTCTGATGTTAATGTATCTGTAAAATCTCTCCAAAGCATGCTAATTTTCTTTTCTTTTTTTTTAAACAAGAACAGGCTTTATAACTCAGGGTCCTCAGTAGGCAGTGATAGCTAGCTAGAATTTTAGTAGCACTGCTGTACTATTATTGTTACGTCTCTTGTTAGTTTCATGGTTTTATTTTTTATTGCCTTTTTGATTATTTGCTATTTATGAAAAATGTTAGTGTTGCCATTGCAGTAATTCTCTTGTCCATTTCTTCATAGTTATAAGATTGCTGCTGAAGCTCCTGCCATCACACCCAAATTGGAATTAAGAGGAAAGACAGGGTTCAGCCACTTTTGTCTCCTATTACCAGGAAAGCAAAATAATTTTACATACTTTGCATTGATCGAAACTTGCTGCATGGCTACACATAGCAGCAAAAGAGGCTGAAAAAACGGGTGTTTGACTGGATACATTGGTACCCCAAACTAATCAGAATTCTATCATCAAGAAAAAGGCATACATCCAGTGCTCTATAACAAAAGTGTTTGCCACAGGCTGGGAATCCTTTGAATTTTCTCTTTAGTGTCTGCAAAGAGCAGGGATGGAAGTCAGAGACGTGGAATGGCTTAAGGAAATTTAGTAAAAAGCCTGTTTCTCTTTACCTTGTTTACCACCAAGACACTCCCTTCCTCATAGTGCAGTAGAAAACTGACAGTCATCATCACTCCTAAGGAACAATACACAATGAAAAAAACAGTATCGTCATAGTCTTACAGTGGTGGCAAGGAAATCTTACGGGTTTGTCCCCATTGGCTATTATAGCTCAGAGTGCTAAGCTAAAGAACTCCTCACCTTTTCAATCTGCTGTGAAGAGGCTATATTTACTTACCTGCACATACCTCCAAATATGTACCCTAGAAATCAGATTTGAAGTCTTATAAATTCCAGAAATAGGATGTTCTTATTTCAAAAACTACTTTTCAAATTAGTGTTTTAATTCAACAAGCATTTAGTGAGTGCCCACACTTCCCCAGGCACCTTCTTAAGTGCTGAGAATATAGGGGTGAACTGGACCCATAAGGCCCTGGAGTATATATCCTGGTGGGAGAGGCAGATGAAAGATCTGCAGAAAAACAGGATCTCAGGAGGATTAACAGCTGAAATCAGGAGACAGACTTCTGGGCTTGAATACAAATTCTGCGGCTTCCTGGCTTTGTGTTTTGGGCAAATTACTTGCCTCTCTATGCCTCAGTTTCTCCATCTGTAAGATAATAAGAATAATTATAACTTCACAGAGTTACAGTGCGACTACTTTTTTGACTCATAATGATTAAACACAGCCATATTGAAGGGCCAGAACACTAAGATGTAGACAGTGTTTTAAAGGGTAAAAAAATGGTGATGACAAATTACTACCCACCTCATTTGGTGGCTGAGTGTATTACATGGCTTAATGCATGTAAAGTGCTTAGAAATGTTGCTAGTATGGCCAGGCGTGGTGGCTCATGCCTATAATCCCAGCACTTTGGGAGGCTAAGGCAGGTAGATCATAAGATCAGGAGTGCAAGACCAGCCTGACCAACATAGTGAAACCCTGTCTCTACTAAAGATACAAAAGATTAGCTGGGCGTGGTGGCAGGTGCCTGTAATCCTAGCTACTCGGGAGGCTGAGGCAGGAGAAGCTCTTGAACCTGGGAGGCAGAGGTTGCAGCAAACCAAGATTGTGCCACTGCACTCCAGCCTGGTGACAGAGTAACACTTTGTCTCAAAAAAAAAAAAAAAATGTTACTAGTATGTAGTAAGTGCTCAGTAAATGTTAGCTATTATACTATTTCAAGTACTGGGTTTTCACCTGATGTCATGCAGTGTTATACAAGGTCTCCAAAGATACTGAGAAGTCCTCAAGGCCAATTTTAACAAGCATGGTTGCCACATTCTTGTGCTTATAGTTGAAGATTTCTTCTTTCAGACACTTGCACAAAAGGATACTTCTAAGATGCATTTGCATTAGGTGGCGAATTTGATCCTGGGTATGAAAAACATTGAGATTTGAGAATAAAGGATAGTTAAGACTGAGGTTGCAATTACTAAAGGAAAACCCCAACAGAGAGAAGTGAAGTCCTACAATATCATGCACCCTCCCCTGACCCACTCGCTCTCTCCAAACACCCATGACTGGCTATATTTTATCAGCATTTCCCATAAAGTCAAAAGGGAAAATACAGACCTGGGCTTTCATGGAAAGTATTTTCATTCTCACAACCAGAATCCCTGCCTTTAATTTTTTTTTTTCTTGGTTTTTAGATCTTTAACTTTTCCTTCAGCACTTCAGTACTCAACTTTTTGAAAATCATCTTTTCTGAGGAATGATATTTCCTGGCACAACATCATCTTTGTCAAGTGACTCAGTTTGATTTTTTTGTTTGTTAATATAAAGTGGCCCCAACTTACAGAGAAAAAGTGGGCTCTTGGTATCAGTTTGATGTCAGGGTTTTTCCATGTTTGAGAGGGAGCTTTAAATACCACTCGATTTGAAGGTGTCTTCAGGCGAGCTCCAGTCCTCTGTCAAGATGCTTCTGGCCACCGTCCTTACCTCTGCCCTGCTCCTGTGCTCTGTGGCAGGCCGGGGGTGTCCAACCTCGACGGGGATCGTCAGGGACATCAACTTCCTCATCAACAAGATGCAGGCAGGCTGCAGGGGGCGCCCATGGGAAAGAGGGTTACTGACAAAGTGAAATATGCATGAGGATGAAAAAACTCGGGGCTGACTAAAGGTTCTTATCTCTCTATCTACTTTAGGAAGATGCTGCTTCGAAGTGCCACTGCAGTGCTAATGTGAGTGAATGCTCTTTAAGAACTTTCCAAATTAATTTTAATTTTCACATCTGGAATCTTCACTCTGAAATTTCCCTTGCAGGTGACCAGTTGTCTCTGTCTGCCCATTCCTTCTGTAAGTACAGTGAAAGAGTATAATTTTGACCTTGGATTTTTTTGGTTTGATTTTAAGTAAAAATAAGTTGGTTTATTTAATATTTAATGTTATACATTGTTGCTTAATTCATTGGTTACAATTAGTATTCCCTGTTAAAACCACATTGTTACAAATTATTCCCTTTTAAAACTAGGATCTTGAAATCCTATATTATGAACCTTTCTTTGTATTTAGTTAACTTTATGCCTCTTGAGAAGTTTGAACACTTTTCAACAACAACAAAAAAAGAATCCTGAATATCTTTTTAGATAGGTGGCCATGTGCACAATTAAATAAAACTGAAACTAAGGATATAATCATTGCTAGAGGTCATATCATATTGCTTTCTACCTCATTTACTGATAACTCTAGAGTTGTGAAACAATGTAAATAAAAAGACTACTCCTTATCATTCATCTGGCATGAATGATCTTTGGGCTATACTTCCCTCTCCCTGCCTCCTCCCTTCCTCCCTACCTCCCTGTTATCTGTCTAGCTGATTAGAGTGACTGTTGGTTTGAGTGCTGCCCTCTGGGCAGATAGAGGATCTGAGGTTTTGAGTGGAAGGAGGTCTTCCAGAGGGCCACTGCCCACTCTGGCAGGAAGGACGGGTGGCAGGAAAGTTCTCATTCCTAATTCAAACTCCTGGTTAGGGTGAGGAGGAGGCACTTCTCCAAGGTGCAGTGCTTTATTCTTTCTCATGCAAGGCCTGGGAGAATCTGAGCTTCTTGCCCTAGCGAGAGTAAGACATCGCACCCATCACCATCCATCCATTAGAGGAGAAGAGGCTAGAGCGCCTTCTGGGCAGGCACCAGGCAGACAGCACAGCCCCTGCCCCTCGGTGTACACTCCATGTTTTTAGCTGCTGCTGAAATACCAGCTGCATTCAATTGTCACATCCCATTAGCTGGTGTGGAAAGACTTTTCCTCACTCTGCACTTTCAAACTTACAAGTCTTGAAGCCGGGAATCACCCATTGAAAAGAACATTCAGAGCTGACTATTTCAGGGCCCGCAGCCCTCATGTTTCCTGGGTATAACATACAGGAAATCTCCTCCAGGGGGTGTCACTGTGGAAAAATGGCATCCCCTTTAAATATGGAAGATCACTTCCTACATTGGCAAGGGACCTATCTAAAAATAATGCAAGTTTGAGTAACGGTGATTAAATAAAAATAATCTCTTATATTGCTTTTTGTGATATATTTTCAAAGCTGTCCTCAGAATATTTCTTTTAATAAATCCTTACTATTTACCAGGACAACTGCCCTGGACCATGCTTCAGGGAGGGACTGTCTCAGATGACCAATACCACAGTGAAAACAAGATACCCACTGATTTTCAATCGGGTGAAAAAATCGGTTGAAGTACTAAAGAACAACAAGTGTCCCGTAAGTTTGTTTTCATATGTGATGTGTTCCTGTCGGTGATTTCTATGTGAATGGTGATGCCAACCCTGTTTGAACGCAAAAGGATGATAAAGTTGGAATTGACACTTCAAGGCTGATAAAAGACATCTAAGAAATTTAATCAGAAGTAATATAATTAAAGTGAGATCCATTGAAACAATAGAATTAAAGTGAGATAGATCATTGTTCCCCCTAGTTTTAAAAAACATGCCGACAGAGCCATTTACTTCTCTCTGTTATGGAATAATGAAAGAATCCTTTCTGAGTGTAATTAGAAGCCACAATCTAGAGAATCAGGGATGTAGCTCACATAATACGAAATTATCCTAGAGAGTCAATGTACTAACTGAACGGATGTTGTTAAAAGGGATTTTTTTTTTTTCCTGTTGGTTAAGGAGGTTTTGTTTTGTTTTGTTTTGGAGACAGAGTCTCGCTCTGTTGCCCAGGCTGGAGTGCAGTGGTGCCATCTGAGTTCACTGCAGCCTCTGCCTCCTGGGTTCAAGTGATTCTCCTGTCTCAGCCTCCTAAATAACTGGGATTACAGGTGCGTGCCACCACACCCGGCTAATTTTTGTATTTTTAGTAGAGACGGGGTTTCACCATGTTGGCCAGGCTGCTCTCCAACTCCTGAACTCAAGTGATTTGCTCACCTTGACCTCCCACAGTGCTGGGATTATAGGTGTGAGCCACCATGCCTGGCCTGGATTAAGGAGGTATTTAAAGGGCAATGCACCCAGGTCAAGGTGGAAGCTGCCACTCATCCTGAATGCCCATCCACACATTCCTTTCTTCAGCGTATACCCTAGTCCCTGACAGCAGAGTGGGATGGCTAGTTGGGTAGAGGTGACCTCCCTCCCTTTTTTGGGTATTAGCATCTCCACACAAGATCCTAGAAGTCTGAAAGCCCTGAGCTCAACTGTTTAACTGCATGCGTTTCTACCATCAATGGCATCTAGTTCTAAGTGCTTAATATATGCTGTCTCACTGAATAAATACATACCTTAGGGACAATTATTCAATTTATCAGTCTCAGTGAGGTTAACTAATTTGCCTAAGGCTGCATATTTAATAAGTGGCAGAGGTGAGATTTGAACTCAGGTCTGTGTGACCTCAGAGCCCCACTCTTAGCCACTGTACTGTCAAATGACCTTGGAAACACAACCTTAAAGGATAATGATACAATGTTAGGCCTCAAAGAGTCCCCAGAAAGACTTTCTCTAATGGGGAGATTTAGGGTCACTTAATAGGGGTGTGTGTGTGTGTGTGTGTGTGTGTGTGTGTGTAAAAAGCCCTGAAATCCAACTTGAGGTCAACCACCTATGTTGTCTTCACACCACGTGAGCTAGCCTGGACCTGCCCATCTATTTGCTCTGGGTCTCAAGCCCCTTCCCTTCCCATCCCCACACTCCTCACCACCGACTCTGGCTCTTGGCAGGTCGGCTCCTGGGGCTGCCTGGCTCTACACCATTTGAGTCTCTCTGTCCTTATCGACTTTCATCCCCACAGAATTTTTCCTGTGAACAGCCATGCAACCAGACCATGGCAGGCAACACGCTGACATTTCTGAAGAGTCTCCTGGAAGTTTTCCAGAAAGAAAAGATGAGAGGGATGGGAGGCAAAATATGAAGATGAAATATTATTTATCCTATTTATTAAATGTAAAATGCTTTCTCTTTAAGTTGCTACAATTAAAAAATCAAGTAAGCTACTCTAAATCAGTATCAGTTGTGATTATGTGTTTAAAATTGTATGTCTTTATTTTGAAATAAATACATATGGGGGGAAAATGACAGGAGCTGGTCTCCAGGCAATTATTCATCTCTTGCTGCTCAGAACAAAGAAAGCTACAAGTGTTGTTAAGGGGAAGAACAGATCAGAGACTCCGATAGTGATAAGACTCCTGATGTTGAATACAGACCCTCAGACTCAGAGGCTGTAGCTGGGGCTGCAGGGGAGGCTGCAGGGAGCAGTTACAAAGAATGTCTGTGGGGACCGTCTGAGGGTTGCCGCTAGGGGAGGCTGAAGGCATATCTGAGGGAGGGAGCCCTGGAGCACTGCTAAGAGGGCTACGGTCCTGAGAAACTGGCCGTGTGCCTGACATAGGAGAAGGCAGCAGTTTGGAGGTGGGAGACTGCTCAAGAATGTGGGCATGCAGAATAAATGCTTAATAATTAACTGCTTAACCCCCTAGTTATGGTAGGAAGTGGATACTATTATTACATGTTTTTGTTCTATATATACTGAAACCAAAGCTTAGAAAGTCTCGATGGCTTTCCCAAGATCCCACAGGTGGTGAGATTTAGAAGAAGGATTCACCCCTAGTCTCTGCTTCCAAACCCTTTGCTGTTTGCATTCTGCCCCTTTATTATTCTCTTTATACCAAGGGCATAAGGGTGTACACTGTGCTTCTTCCAACCACAGCCTGAGGGTAAAACAGACCCATCATAATTGCAGTCCACACTCTCATATCCAGAAACCTAGGGAGTCAGATAGGTTTCAGAATTCAAGCTTTTTAGCCTTTTAGAAAGTTAAAACAATCCATGTGCCATATATTACATAACACCCACAGCAGTGCCTGGGGCAAGGTTCCATAATTAAACCTATCAATCCCGCAGCAGTCACTGAAATGGTCAAGTTTTGCAGCCAAATAAGTCCTAACAAATCTTGAGTTTTCACAGTTGTTTGGATTTCAGAATAATGATAAGAAATTGGTAAGCTGCATTAACAAAACAGCCTTTCTCTAGCTCATGCCCTACTTACCCAGGGAGGCAGTGGGGGGCACTCTCTCCAAGACATTTTATCTGGGGCTGGGCTGGGTGGCTCCAGGAGGGATAGAGGTTTCTGCAGCTTCCTGGACAGACTGCCGCATGGAGTTCCAGATCGCAGCTGCAACACCTTCTCTTCTCTGCTCCATGTGGGTTTTCTGAATGACTGGCCCCAGACATAGTTGAATCATGTGACACTGTGGTTTACCACCTGCAGCATGGGGAGACACCAGCCCAAGCAGGATCACAGCAGGGACAGATGCTGATGGTTGGTGATGGTTTCAGAATACAACTCGGAAATGCAACGTGTTGCCGGAGGAGATGGGCAGAGACGAGCTTACACTCACCGATGCAGATTAATCACCAGCATAGCTTGGTGCTTTCCCTCAGCTTTTCTGCAAAAGTCACATAACCTGCAGTGTTTCCTCCTGCAGGCAAGCTCCAAGGAGGGTTCACTTACAGTGAAGTGAGCAATAATTATCATCTTCTCTGTGCCAGGAGAATTGAGATTCATCAAGAAGTCACCCTGGAGAAAGCAGAACTAACATTTATTGTTTACTCTGTACCAGGCACTCTGCTAAGCCTATTTTGTAGAATATCTGTTGGATCCTCACAACAACCCCATGAGATATTTATATAATTGTTGTATGTAATTTTTCCCACTGCACAAATGAGGTAAGTAGGCCCAAGAAGGCTGCCTACCTTGGCCAGAAGCACGTTGCTCACAAGTGGTGAAGTTGCTACCCTCTCCAGGTTGCCAGGCCCCAGGCAGAGTTGTTTCCAGTAGATTCCAGATCAAAGGACACGCTGCAGGCCAAAGCCAAGCCAAGATGTGGCCAGCCATAAAGCTGGCTTGCCCATCTATCCATCCATCCCTCCCTCTGTACACCTATACAGTTTGAAGCAGGAAGACGCTGTGATGTTTCAACTTCACAGTTCCTCTCCTCCCATTGTCACATTGTCACCCTGCTTCATCGACCCCAGACCAAGACCTCCCTTTCTCTGTAAGGGGAGGCCTCAGCAGAAACTCAAAGAGGACCCAAAGGGCTTCATTCTTTATTTTTATCACTTGAAAAAGATGGCTTTAGCCAGGCACAGTGCCTCTGAGATGGGAGGATCGCTTGAGCCTAGGAGGTCGAGTGTGCAGTGAGCCATGACTGCACTGCTACACTCCAGCCTGGGTGACAGAGCAAGATCCTATCTTAAAAACAAACAAACAAACAACAACAACAACAAACAGATGGCTTCATTGAGATATGCTTCATATACCATATGCAATACAATTCATCCATTTGAAGAGTATAATTCAATATATTTTAGTACATTGGCAGGGTTGTGCAACCATCCCTCTTTATACTGTATCATATTATCTGTAAATAGAGGTAATTTACTTCCATTTTTCCAATTTGGATGCCTTTTCTTTCATTTTCTTGGCTAATTTCTGGCTAGAACCTCCAATACAACGTTGAATAGAAGTGGTGAGAGTAGATATTCTTGCTTTGTTCCTGATTTTAGTGGGAAAGGATCCAGTCACTCATGATTAAATATTAATATGTTGTGAGCTGTGGACTTTTCATAAATGCTTATTATCAGACTGAGAAAATTCTTTTATTCTTGTCTGTTGAACACTTTTATCTTGAATGAGATTGGACTATGTCAGATGTATTTTCTGCACTTATTGGTATAGAGGTTATTGATACAGAGGTTAATTCTTGGCTTTAGAATTTCCAATGGTAACTCTCCTAGCCCTGGGATAGAAAGTAACTCCTTGGGCTATGGAAGAGAAGTCAGAGAGGAGAGGATGAGGGCAGACACTGTTGAGTTCCCTGGAGAAGAGCTCTCTGCCTGGCCCCCAGCAGAGCCTGGGGGAAGAGGGCAGCACTCCTGGGGAGGGCGAGGGGGGCGTGTAGAAAACCGAGAGTAAAGGGCACATGAGCCATATTCCCTGAGTGCCCTGGGAGATGACATGAAAAGAGAATGCCTCTCGCCACCACACCTAAGGTTTGGTATAGGGAGGACCACCCATAGGCCCTAGGAAGCTGATCTTGATGCAGCCCCCTGAATAGTTTCAACGGAGAAACCAAAGATTTTCACCCAGGGCAGAGAGGGGCACTGATGTGTCTTGGAGGATGGTAAGGCCGGAGAGACCTTGGGATGGGCATATATGGCATGCTCAGACCAAGGATAGGGACCAAATGGGACTGAAGATGCTTTTACAGAAGCCACCCTGGAGGGAAAGCCACGCCCAGGACTAGCCGGGAGGAACACCAGGGTAGGAGAGACAGAGCACCTCCCAGAACCCTGGAGCCTCTCCCTAAATCCCAAGCCTCCCAGATCTAAAGTCAACCCCACGGGAAGGTGGAGAAGGAAAAAATCTTGAACTGGGCATTTAACTTGGAATTTCGAAGTTTTACCCTGAAATGGCAAAATTATTTTTTTCTGTCATCAACTTGAAAAAAAAATCTCAATTTAGTTAACAAAAAATAAAGAAACCTTCATTTATTTGCTGCAGACCTGAGGCTGTGATTGAATCACTCAACAGACACTAAGAAGTGCGCAGTGAGGAGCACGCGCTGGACTCAGTGTGCGGCTGAGGAAGGCGCTACTGCTGTCCTTGGGATCCACGGTGCAGGAGCCGGGAGAAACCTGGCCGGTGCTGAGAGGAGACGGGAGGCATGGGGGCGTGGTGCTTGAGACTGGAGGGAGTAGCTGAGCCCAGAGCTCACTGGCCCCTCCCCATCCTCAGCCAGAGGAGCGATGCAACGTTTCACGGGATGGTTTCTGGCTCCCTGGTGCTGATGGTCTGGACTTCTCTGGACCAAACATTTCTTGGAAACCTCTTTGATGCCAGCCTAGCAGAGTGGACATTGGGGATCAGACCTTGGAGGGCTTGAATCAGTGACTCATGAGGCATCCCAGGCATCAGAAGGGCCACGTCAGTGTCTGCACCATCCTGGCCCACGCTTGCTAACTGATGTCCACTTGGAGGACAAAGGCCAAACATCTGCAGCTCTCAGGGCTTCACATGCAGAGATGAGGCCCAGGGAACACTAATCACCCTGTGTTCACCTCCTGGAAAAAGCAAACAACCCAGATTCAGAGGAGAAGGCAGGCAAAGAACAGAAACCAGAAAGATCACACCACGCTCCCCCTTCCTCCAAACCCTATGTTTTGCACTTTACAGTTTACAAAAACACTTTTGCACTTGATTGTTATGGAAGCCGTGCAAAGGAGGTAAGGGAGACCAGTGTGGCCATTTTACAGATGGCTCAGGGGGCACTGATGCCTGCAAGAGCACACAGGTAGGCGATGGCCCGCGTGAAATTGGAACCCAAGGGGGAAGGTCTCCCTAGTGTGAAGTTCTTTCCACCACAGAGAAGGAAAAGGGCAACACCAAGGGAGATGGTGATGCCCAGGAAACAGGAAGAGAAGTGTCACGGGGTCCAGGTGCTCTCACCACAGGGCCAAGGTCGTGCACTCCCAGACGCGGACTCCTGCAGAGGGTTTAGTTGACCTCTGCTGCCACCAAGCGGCCGTTCTGAGGGTATCAGCCTTTGGATTAGGGATATATACATAATGTATGTGTAAACAGGTCAAAACTACTTTCATAGAACACTAAGATGTTATCTGCATAGAATACTAAGATGTTATCTGCTCTTTTCAACCTTATTTCTCACAAGTGTACAATGGAGTTTCCCAAAGGCTATATTGCAAGTGATAACCCATTGACTAAAAGCAAAAGGAGACAGGGGAACACAATTGCCCTCTGTTTAAGCCAGACTTAGCTGCAAAAAGGAAAAACAACACAAGTCTTTTCGTTAGTTACATTGGTTTAGAAAGAATCATTATTTTCATAGAATGTTATTTATGTTAAAATGTCATGGGTTTATTATTATACCTAAATGGATATTTTTGAAATTCTGTTTGAATTTCCAGTAAATGTTGGTAAATATATAAGCAGACGTTCTTTGAGGCCCTTAATAATTTTCAGAAGTGAAAGGGGCTGCTGAATGGTAATGGTTTTTGTTCTTCTTTTCATCGTTCCTAGTAAGGCAAATTGGCCAACCTTGAAGCCCCCCAACTCCAGGACACAGACACCAAAGCTGGTGCTTGGCTTGGAATTCTGTTTTGTTTTCATCCTTCTTAAAAATAGGATTCCATTTGTTTAAAGACTTTCCTGACCATGACACAGAAATTAATGCCTGGTACTAAGCTCTCTGAGGGCAGAGTCCCTGCCATTGTCACCCAATGCCTGTAACAGCACTGGGAACAGACTACACGCTCTCTCTCTCTCTCTCTCTCTCTCACACACACACACACACACACACACACACACACACACACACACACATTTGGTTAAATAGAAGCATAATGTGTTGATGGAGGAAAACTCACAAGCTGTTGGCCCCAACTATTCCACAAGATTGCCCTCTCCAGAAAAACCTAAGAGGAAGTAGATCCGTTGCTGGCTAACGCCTCCCAGATCTGGCTACCACAAGAGGTTTGTTTGGGTTGGAGCCGAGTTTCTTCATTAAAGCCAAGTTTAATTCATTGCAGCCCAGGTGCTCCTGGGTGAGAGTGAGGGTGTAGAAGATGTGCTGAGGCAGTGTCTGCCCAGCATGCAGGAGGGCAGGGAGGGGAGGGGCTGTTACTCAGAGCCGGACTGAGGCTGGGCAGCGAGGCAGAGCCAGCCCGCAGCCTGAAAAACAGGGAGCCCTAGCTCTGCAATAAGATGTGCTTTTATTTTAAGATATTATAAAAACAATATATGCTTGCTGTAAAAAATTAAAACATTACAGTAATCACCATCATCAAATCACCATCGTTATAGTGATATACAAAGAAATCACCATCATCAGAGTAGGAACTGAAAGCCTTCTCCCAATCCCACATCTCAGAAATAGCCACTATTAAATTTGGTGTGTACCTCTCAAGGGTTTTTCAATGCCCATATAATTACCCATATATGATATGCATCTTAAAATGAAAATGAATAACATCTTATATGTTATTCTGCCCCTCCATTTCTGCACTTAAAATGTCGCTGACCTATTTCCATGACAATATATGTAAGATCTACCTCATTCTTTTTAGTGGCTGTTTGTTTAACCCCCTCTTCTATTGACAGGCATTTGGAAAGTTTCTCAATTTTCATTATTACAAACAATTCTCAGTTAACATGGTCACGCTTGCATTTTTGCCCATTAATTTATGCTTCTTTTATTCTAAACCCTGCTCATTCTTGCTGCTATGCTGAATCTAAGGATTGGGAAGACTCAGCCCTGGCTCTGAAGATGGGCACAGGCCAGTGAGAAACAGAGGGTGCACAGGCATGACTGTAGCACAGGGAGGGACACAGTGCCAGAGGGGTCATGTCGGTGGAAGGGCCATGGATGTTGCTAGGGGAGAGAGAGAGAGAATTAAGGAAACCCTAACATCTAAAGGCTTAAAGCATCTGAGCTGGGTTGAAAACAGGGAGCATTCCTGTTCCTGGTGATGCTGGGGATAAGAGTGT